CCCCTTCTATTCTGGGGGGCATCAGTCCGGTTGCTTATCACCGGCAAGCATGAGTTTCAAAGTACAAATTATTTGTAGGAAAAGAGGAAAGCCTTGCCCTTGTGGCCCTAGACGCCTAACAAGGGGGGGATTGCTACAACCGAACCCTCTTCCCATACCATAGCCTCCCCAGGGATACCTCTGTTGGTCGGGAGGCTTTCCAGCAGCACCCAGCCACACAACAGAACGGTCCCCAGGGAAGGCCTGGCCCGGGGGGGCCATTCTAGCAGTCTCACGGGCCTCACATCCTGTCAGTCCCACCCTCTGTTCAACCATCTTTTTTGTACCTACTAACACTCTTTTAGTCTAGATCCTTCCYGTTSCCGGCTTCCTATTGAGTCCTTAAATCTCGTCTAATTTTTACACCAATCTCCTTTATCCATCCTATCAGTCACACCCTCTGTTCAATCCCTTCTTTTTTATAACTACTACACTCTTTTAATCTGGTTACTTCCTTATACCCGGCTGCCTATTGTATGCTTAAGTCTCCTCTAATCTTACTCCTGTCTCCTTTGTCTTTGCTATCACCTCTCTCCTCTTGCTCTTCCCCCACTTCTAATCCAGGCTTTTCAAACCTCTCATTTCACCCTCATTCTATTTACACCGCCCTCTGGTTTTAAAGCCATTCTAAAACCAGCAGCCCTCCCTTATTTTAAGGTTTAAGTCTTGTCCCCAGCAATATGTTCATCAATCCAGGTTAACCCCGTATCCTTCCCTCTTTCTTTTCCTTTTTTCCACATTTTTGGCTCCCCCTCCTCCCTTTTTCCATCTGCTCTTGACCCTCTTGCACCTCCCTACTTTGCCTTCTACCAACTTCCTAACTCCTACCCCCGTATCCTCCCATCCCCCCTACTTCCTACCTACTTGAAGCCATTCTATTCTACTGACTGACTGCTGCTTGTATCCTCTTTCTCTGGTCCAGGCGCATAGTGTTGCAAGATCGGTCCAAACTGCAGCTTCCCTGTGCTAGGGTCCCGCATCAGCATCTGCGGGAACGGGGCCCATCTCTGCCAAAAGCCTGCCTCCTTTGCTTCCCCTGTGCGTCTACTTCGGTGCAGGTCCGCCAATATAGCAATGTGAATACTCTCCAACGCTCTCTCCTGATAGGCCCGCAGTGACGGAGACGCTCCTTGCCTACATCTTTCGTTTCTCAATGTCCATAGGGCCCATAACACAGCTGCCCTTACAATCTCTTCCACCACCATCTCTCCCATACTCTGCCTGTTAGCTTTGATCAGGGTACCCAGTAAGATCTCTGCATCGGTCGTTTCGTCGACCTGCACTGGTGTCTTGTCTGCAATTTCCTTCCCCCACCACTCCCAGAACACATGTACCCTTGGACATCGCACAAAGAGGCAGGGGACCGTTTCAACCTGGCCGCATTCTGCAGCACAAGTTTGGTTCTTATGACAACTTTTGGTGGCCAGCCACTGCGCAGTCGGGATTGCCAGGTGGTCGATCTGCCATCGCAGGCCCGCCTGCTTCTGATCTGGCAAGGCAGCCATAATGTTGCATTGTTCGTTCCATCTCCTCTGTGTCCAATTAGTGAGTCGCCCATCCGGCAGCCACTCTCGTTTAGCCCACCTCTCCTTCAGTTCGCCACAGATGTTCA